TACAAACACTCATGTACGCTGAGGAGCTGTGAGTAGGAATGGCAGGGAACAGAGGCGGTGAGCGAGTGTTGTGTTCAGCTTGGAGTGAGCACCAAAACACAAATAACTACATAAAGAGACCTGATGGAAAATCCGACCGAATGAATGATTGCACAGCGCAGGTGGAGAAGACGGGCTTTTACGGCGCCGTTGTGCAGCAGATTTCCTTCCCAGCGTGTGCCCGGCAGTGCTGCGCAGTGAGCGCTGCGTGCTGCTGCAGGCTGGGGCAGCGCAGCGCTCACAGTGCTTACATAACGCTCTGCAGCAGCGCAGGCTCTGCCCCAGCGCCCGCCTGGCTTTCAGTTTCTGATTCAGGCACTTGGCAGCATCTCCTCTTCCTACTCTGGAGACGTGAAGGCAGGGGTCAGATCCTTCTGCGGACAGGGGAAGGATTAGAGATGAGCACAAGGCAAAACCCGTTGTCCTGTGATGGCTGCTATAGATAAGCGAGTTTCTGACCTGTGAATCGTTTATGGGAGGAAACTGTATTTTCCCCCATTTTCCCTGTCCAGTAGTTTCTGCATGTGTTTCTCATTACTTTTATCTCGAAATCGTTCTGGTCCAATGAATTATTGATGTGGGGTCACTTGCGTCGCTCCAGGAATTGTTTTCTTTAACCAGCGATCCCTTCTGAATTTTTTAAGCCATCTATTAGCTCTGAAATCTAAACAAAGTTTGTGGCTTCTAATTTCAGGGTTAAATTGGACTCGACTTTGAAAAGGTGAAGAGAAAGAGAGCACAGGGGAAGGATGACCATATTCTTTTTCATCTTAGGATCTTCCTTGTGTTGATGTTTTCAGTGCTTCTTGGGGTTTTTTGGTTTTGTATTGTTTATTTTATATATATATATAAATTTCTCTTGGATATCAGGTGTCTGATCCCGCTTCAGTGGGCCTTGAGCTTTGGTATCCTTAATGTTGAGCACAAGCTGAAATTGGTTGTTGAATTTCGGCCCTATAGACCTGCAGGCATAGTACAGAAATATCTGTGAAGTGCTTTCCTTTTCCCTCAGATGCTCTTCTTTTCAACATGTAAGAACTGGAATTCAGCATTTTGAAATGCTGTTGGTCATCTCCTGCTGGGAGGGAGGCTTGATCTTCTGAAGATGGGCAGTGTCTGTGTTAGTGTGCCTGTGCACATTTGTGTGTGTTCTGCACATGCTCCAGCCTTGATTCAGCACAGTCTCTCAGCAGCTCCTGGCTGCAGGGTAGTGCTGAGTCCTGTAAAGTGCTGCTTCAGAGCTGAGCATGCACGTGGTTTAATGACTTCTAGGCAGAAAAACTTTCTTCTCTCTGTTTCCATTGCTTCTGCCAATGGTAGAAGATGGGGGGGGGGGGGGAAGAAAAAAAACCAGCCTGTACCAGCAGAACAGCTGCAGTCTCTCCAGGGATGCTCACATTCAGGGACTTGCCCAAATCTGACTGGAACCGAGATCTCTTGGTAGATTTGGCTGCAGTTAGCCTGGGCTGGGCTCTCCAAGGGGTACTGAGCAGATTCAAGGGATGCTGTGTATCTGCTTGAACCCGATGGCTGTGCTGTCACTGCTACAATCTGGAGAGAGACAGCTCAAGCAGAGAGGCTGAGCTCAGCAGTGCTGTCCCTAAAAAGGCTCCTCGAGCACTGAGAGCAGGTGGGCTCCCAGGCCCTTTGTGGCCAACAGGTACAAGGCTTGGAGCTATGCCCCCAGCTCTGTGGGGCAGGGGCGAGGCAATCCTCAGACACAGAGGAGGCTGTGGTGCGGAGCTGACTCCTAATGCTACCCCTCAGAAATGTCTCTGGCAGAGTAGGGGGAAGGAAATGGGGATTAATTATTTATTTGTTTGTTTATGTATTTGCACCCAAACCACTTCCTGCACTGCAGTTTTGATTCAGGCAGTGGGGAGCCCGGTTTCCGCAGTGGGATTTGGATGCAGGTTGTGCAGTGAGACAGCTGAAGCTATGAGCAAAAAGCATGCAGAAATAAAGGTTTCCTCCCAGTACCTTATATAATCAGAAAGGATGATGTCATTGGGAGCCACAGAGGAGAGCAGGCTGTGAAATTACAGCCCTCTGCAGCCGAGCAAAGCCAAGTGCAAGCAGGGGCAATGTGGAGCAAGGGCTAGGCTCCTCTGGGAGAGGCCAGGGGCTCAGGCTGGAGGAGAACTGAGGGGGCTATTGGAAGTAGATGCTTCACATACAGTCAGAAGCTGTCACACAGCACAAGGTGGAAAGGGGAGAGCAGCATGTGCCCAGCACACAGCCACAGAGCTGTTGTCTCAAAGGCTGATGCCCTCTCTCTCATCAGCAGCCCCCCATGGCTCGCTGTGGGTCAGTTCCCTCTAGTTGAAGAACTAGAATTGAAGTTCTCCTGTCCTCCTTTCTCTTCCTGGGATCAGGGCAGTGAGAGGCAGCAGCCCTCTGTGCCCAGCCTGTGTTGTTTCTCTGTTACATAACAATATGGGCATTTAGGCTTGTTTTTCCAGATATTGGCAGATGCATCAAATATTGGCATAACTCAGAGGTTTACATGGAAAGCCGGCAGGCTCTGTCTGGAGCCTGCACAATGCTGGCATTTTCATTGCAGGCAAGAGCCTGCAGTGGTGTCAAAGCCATGTTGTAGGTAAGCATGTGGGAAAGGCATTCCTATTATAGCCTGACTCTGGGATTACGGCTGCCTAGGTACAGCTACACGACTTGATAAGGAAGATTAATAGGCTTGTGATTGCTCTCACCCTGAAACAGACTCTGCTAAGTTTGCTCTGATGCTTTTGAGCCTTGGAAAGCAACACGCTCACGTGATGGCTCAGTGTGAAGGCTCTGGAGCTCACTTTCCAGCCCCTGTTTGCAGGGTGCTGCCGCTTTCTCTGATGTGCTGTGGTCCTGCGGTAGAATCCAGTTAGAGTTTCAGCATTTGTTCTCTTTAAATGGTTGGATTTTTGCACACAGCTTTCAGATGCCTGACAAGGTTGATTTTGCCAAATGCACAAAATAACCCTTTTGACCCAGCAGGTCACAGTGCCATCCAGCTAACTTTGGGCAATCCTGTCTGTGCTCATTCTTACTCCGCGCTGATTTCTGTTCCTAGAACCATGGTTCCTGGTGCAGGGCCTTCACCTTCCACCCAGTGTTTGGGCTGAGATTGGAAATGCACTGTGCGTTTCCTTCTGCATTTAGGAGTGCACCATGATAAACCTGAAACTGGTCAGGTGTTGATTTCCCAAACTTATTTCCTACTGTACCTATTAAATGGAGCTGGCCCTGCTCCTCAGTCCCTGCTCTGCCAGCAGACAGTGCCCAGTGTCTCTTGGGACGACAAGTGCCAGCAAACCAGCACTGCTCTTCCATTGCTGACCACATTGGGCAGAGCACCTGCAGTGGGCACACGCAGCTCCTGTTGATCAGCCTGCATGTTGAAGATGAGCTTCTAGATAGCTAAAAACCAAAAAGGTAAAGCTCATGTTAGCCATTTGTGCTTAATATTAATAGAGCTAGTAGAGTTTGCCCTAGAGCAGTCTGCAGAAGGAAGAGATGAGATTGATGTGATTTTTTTTTTCCTGTTTGATTTATTTATTTATTTATTTATTTTATTATGACGCTCTCACCCTCCTTGTTGTTAATGTTTAATGAAATACTCATGTTCTTCAAGGGCTTTGCTGGTCATACGCAGCCCTGTGGCTCTTCTTGAGACAGAATGCTGGACCCTTTGTAAAGAGATTTGTAATAGAAATACTGAGGAGCTCCCAGCTACAGCACTGCTAGCAAACACTCCTCTGTGCTGACAGTTCATCAGCAAAACCCCTGACCCTTCCACCCTTAATCATCCTTGCTTGTCACTGACATAATTGCCTGATTACAGACTCTTCTCCCCCACCCCTTTCAAACTGGGAGAAATAGTGAATTTGAAAAACAAATGGAAATGAACTGTCCATGCTCTTTATTTTTTTTCTCCTGTATTGAGTTGGATCAGGCTAGGATTCGGTTTCTTTGTGTATGAGCAGGGGTTGGGATAGGCTTTCAGGACTCTTTTCCACTGGTGTTTCTTGCATGTGAATGGTGAAGCTGATGTCATTGTGTTATTGATTGAGATGACAAGTTTAAACATAAATCATTAATGTCTGAGAAAGAAAAAGGGAGGGGGAAAAAAAGGCAACCCACGCTTGATAGTTTTCCATAAATCTACTGTCTGTTCCTGCATATGTGATACAGAGGAGGATCTGTAGGGTCGCCTTTCCTGTGCAGCCTGAGGATGATGTGCTTTGCCACTGCTGCCCAAACCATTTTCCCCACATATCACATTCTGCAGAAAATGGCTCAAACCATCAGCAGTGCTGCTGTGCTTGAGACTCTCTTTGGAGAAGGGATACAAGGTCAGCAGGCTGCCCAGAGGAGGGGTTCAGGCTCTCTTGTTCCCTCTGACCTTGCACCTCAGCAGCCTTTCAGACTTGGGCCCAGTGCAGTGCTTGGGCCATTTAATTGCCAGAAGGGATTGTTTGGGTGTGTTAGACTGACTAGTTTTGTTCTTTGCTCTTTCAAATTTTGTGTAAAGAAATGTTAGAAATGTTGCTTGGATTGGTTCGTAGCACATGTCCCTGAACTGACCCTGAACTGACAGTGCACAAGTGTGCAGTGGTAGCAGTCATTTGAAAGTGCTCTCACAAAGTTCTCAGCACAACAGCAAGCAGCCGAGGGAAATGCAACCCCTAAGATATTAGTACAGATTGTGCCTTGTGTCTGCACAAAGTTCATCCACTGAATCAGATTATCAGTTCAGACAGCAAGAGAATAAACAGTGTCTGTCAGGGGTTAGCAATCGTGCAAGTATTGGTGAGCAGATGCTGTTTGCAGTGTAAATAGCTTAGTGGCAGTTCGTCCTGGCACCTGTGGGGAATCTTGTGATGCATGAAGGGAAGGAAATATGAAAAGTGGCTCACAGAATGGAAACAGAGAAGGAAATTAACTCTGATCCTCTTCTCCCCTTGCAGCCGAGCTCACCTCCGCCTGTGTCTAGAACGCTTAAAAGTTCTGATACCACTAGGACCAGACTGCACCAGGCACACAACGCTTGGCCTGCTGAACAAAGCCAAAGCACATATCAAGGTAAGAGCTGCTTTTCCCAGCTTCTTTCCATCTGACTGGAAGTGCAATTCGGTTGCTCTCTCTTGCTGCTGAGAATGGTTTTGTGTTAAAGGATGCTAGCATCTTTGTTTAATATATAGATATATTAGGTAAGTGTTGCCCCCTATTTAATTGTTAGTCATTACGGCAGGCCACGTTGTTTGAAGAGTCCACGGTGAACTCTGTTAGCTATGAAAATGTTTGATTAGACTAAGGGTCTTGTTTTGTATTGTGGTCAGCCACTGACAGCAGAAGCTCCTAGAAGAAAAACATGCTTACCGCTGAGTAACTCCACTTTGATGGGAAATGCTACTTTTTTTTTTTTTCCTGTTGTGCTAGTAAGTTTCCATTGCTGAAGCATTAGCACAAAACCTCAAGTGTGTGAGACAGGGTTGGCTTACTGAAGTTTCATACGTGAAGCAGCCAGCTAGCCCAGCACTTTTCTAGTTTCACTTCTGGCAGAGTGAAGCATGAAAAGAAAATACAACGTTGCCAGTATCTGGAAAAAGCTGGAATCCTTTGTCGTAGCTCAGGATAGTGGGAGGGAGGATGGGTGGTGAAGGAGAAAAAGCACTGCTGGAGGGACGGGGTTAGCCTGAAATGACTCCTCCTTATGCAATGTGCTTGTTGTAGGAAACAAAGAACAGTGCCCTGGTAGATTTCCCAGCTGTGATCAAAGAAATCTGTAGTAGGTTATGTAAATCACTCACTAAATAGAAAACTGTTTCTGAGAAATCCTACTAAACCATGCAGCAAGGAATGCGGAGCTCCCAGGGCACGTTTTTATGTTACAGTGAGATATAACAAATAGTAGATTGGTTTGGTTAAGGGAATTGAGGCCCCTTTGTGGACATTCTTGGTAATGCAGGTGGCTGAACCCATGCAGAATGGCCCGAAAGCTGCTACACTTAGTTTCATTTAGAGAGGCTTTGTCTTCAAAGCCTTTTGATACCAATGTACATGATTTATCCGGGTTTGGAAACTGGAAAAGTTGTGAAGAGGTAGCATAGAAACTGCCAAGAGAGGCTTCTGGAACCTGAAAGACAGCTTCTTTCAGTGCTCTTGCAGCTTAGATCCTTTTAGGATCTCGAAATGTCTTAAATAAAGCAGGTGGCTGGGCAGTAGAGGTGGGAGGGAAAGATAAAAGGATGAAACTTGTTACTGAGATGTATTTGATCATGTCAGAAACTTGAAGAGGTCGAGAGAAGAAGCCAACACCAGCTTGAGAACCTGGAACGAGAACAAAGATTTCTAAAGAGAAGACTGGAACAACTACAGGGTCCTCAGGAGATAGAGCGAATACGAATGGACAGCATTGGATCTACCATTTCCTCTGATCGTTCAGACTCTGAGCGAGGTGGGTGTCTCTGAATTGCTGGTGAATCTCCAGAGCTCTGAGAGGAGGGAGCACGAGGCAGATCCATTTCTTGTCTCTCAACTATGCCCTTCTCTGTGACCTTGGTATTTAGGCTACTGATTTTGCTCACACACGTATGCACATACATGTGCATACACATGTACTCTCCTATGAGGGCAGACTGAGCGAATCAAGGCTGTTCAGCCTGCAGAATAGAAGGCTCTGAGATGACCTGATAGCAGCATTTCAGTATCTACAAGAGAGCTACAAGAAAGAAAGGGACAGACTCTTCAGCAGAGTCTGTGATGATAGGATAAGCGGAAATGGTTTCAAAGTAAAAGAGGGGAGATTTAGATCGTGTATAAGGAAAAAGTCTCTTATGGTGAATGGTGGTGAGGCACTGGAACAGATTGCACAGAGATATGATGCAAGCCCATCCCTGGAGCCATTCAAGATCAGGCTGAATGGGGTTCAGAGCAACCTGATAGAGCTGTGGGTGTCCCTGTTCACAGCAGGGGAGTTGGATGACCTTTAAAGGTCCCTTCCAATTGTAGGGATTCTATGATTCTATAGCATACATGAAAATTTTTGTCTTTTGCATTAATTACATAGTTTGGAAGAAGCATTGCTTTTGTCAACTCATACAGGTTCCTATGGCATTTAATGTGACCTGTTCTCTAATGAGCTCTTTGAAAAATGAAAGCATTCCTTACAAAAACATAAACGGCTGTGGTCACAAGATGGTAGCCAAATACTTGTTGTCAAAGATGGAATATATGTGGGGTTTTTGTTGTTGTTGTTTTTTTTTTTTTGTATGTTTTGGCATCAAAAAAGCATTCAGCAAGACGACATCTAACTTCTCATTCCCTCCAGTGCATTTTCCTGTTTTCAGGCTTACTGTGGTGTAACCAAGTACAAACAGAACTAAGCAAATTGACTCTTAAAATTCCAGGAATCATTCTGCCACCACCTCCCTTTCTTTTCCAAGCTTCCTATACGTTCATCTCAATTAAAACTGGATAGAGGTCATCTGAATAGCTAAATTAATTTGAATAATTTTCTTTTTTGAAACATGTCAGCTGTGGATCCTAGGTAGGCACAGAAGGTGTTTCAGTGTTTACTGACAGCCAAGCACCTTATATAATTTGTGTTTGAATCTACAGTTTGCGGGGGGGAAAAAAAAAAAAAGGAAAATGTTAAAATGTTGTGAAAACCAAGATGCCTGGTTGACTAGATTACTGCTTTCTAATTCCTTCTTACAAAAAGAGATTTAAGCTTTTAGTTCTCCCATCAGAAAATAACCCAAATCCTCGTGATAATGCCCTCTATTTGTGATCCCAGCTTTCAGAAAGTGATGCCAAGCAAGTAGCGTGGCACAAGGCTAACTTCATGCTCTGTTTTCTCTCTTATGCTCTGTTTTATCCTTTTTTTTTCTTTTTTTTTCTTTTTTTCCCCAACGCTGGGGTAATACAGTTCCAAAGAACAGAGATAAAATAACAAGTTCAGTGCATGGCGTGGCCCACCTATGCTGGTAATGTGGCCTGCACGCTCCCTTTGCAAACTCCCTAAGAAAAGCTGCAGGCTGGTAGCTTATCTTTTTATAAATCATGTCCACAGCCTATCTCACTTCAAGGAAAGAGCATTGAAAGTCTTCCTGCCAGACTGCTGCCTCATCTCTACCGAGGGAGTCCTGGCAGCTTTGCTGACCTGAAAGGAGCAGGTGTTTGGGTTTGTGGTGCTAATGTGTGTGTGTTTCTCTCATTTCCTTTTTTTAGAAGAGATTGAAGTGGACGTTGAAAGCACAGAGTTCTCCCATGGAGAAGTGGACAATATCAGCACAACCAGCATCAGTGACATTGATGATCACAGCAGCTTGCAGAGTATTGGGAGTGACGAGGGTTACTCCAGCGCCAGTGTCAAGCTCTCGTTTGCTTCCTAGAACCAAGTGAGATGACAGTGCAGGGTGAATGATTTCACTGGGGTGATCAAAGTGGGTCTTAGATGCCGGTATCCTCTTTCAGAAATGACACATTGACAACTAGTCCTGGAGAGACCTGTAATTAAAACCTTTTGGGTAAAGGAAGAAACTCACATATTCATTTGGTCACGTTACCGATTCCAATTCCTGCTGGCAAAAAGTTAGACCAAACTGTAGTCCCATCGAAGTCAGCGATAACCATTTGTTTCTGTGGGACCTGGATATAGACCTTAGTGACAAAACACTTTGTTTTGAATTTATTTGTTTGAAAGAGGATACTAGAGACTCATCCCTCTCTTTCTGTCATGAGATCTGGGAAATGTCAGAATTTTGTATGTTGCATTCAGGCTGAACAACCTAATTTAGGCCCTTCTGAAGAGCTTTTGTGGTCCTAAAAGGACCATATCCTACAATTTATCACCATCCAATGCTGTTGTAATGTACTAGGAAATTTTTGAGGACATAAGTAGCCTAGGGATAACAACATCAACAATAATATTAAGGTCTCATTCTGTGCCCAGAGAGAGGGGCAGCTAAGAGATGTTCAGGAAAGAATACCATTCAGCTCAGCTTTCTGTTGGACGTCATTTAAAAAGCAAGTACCTCTGACGCGTGGCTAAAGCAAGGGGTACAACTTGTAATCTACCAGCACTTCATGGGCTGTGTCATGCCTCAGGCTGTGACACCAACAGCAGATCTCCCGGTAGATGCGTGCCCATACGCCGGCACACAGCCAACTGAGGACAGAAAGAAACCAGCACACAGAAGAGGTGATATGCCAGAAAGTCATGCCCAGATACTGAGCCACTATGACCTTTTTATTTGATGAGATTTTTTGATAAACATTTGTAAATGTGTTGGGAGAGAAAACACCCCAAGTCTGATGCGTCTTTTTAGAGCTTGTCCATACGAAACCTTAGATGTCTTTTATATGAATTTATGCCACGAGAAGATCTCTGTTTTGATGAAGCACTTGACCCAATGAAATGCAAAGATGCTTTTTGCCGTGCACACAGTGGATGGAGGCTGTGCTAGCTGCAGAAGGCCAGATTTGGTGAGGGTTTCTTCAAATTTCTTTTTAGAATCATTCCCTTTGCTGACTTTTGAAGTTCCAGTCCAGTAGTTAACCTAGTTAAGCTCAGCACGTCTCTCACGTTAATGTAATGTTTTTGACTGCACGTCCTGTTCCCAAGGGCCTTGCCATCACACCTGTGCAGGTGCTGTTAAGAGCTGTTCTAGCAAATGTTTTCTAATCTTCTCAGAGACGAGCGTTCTAACCTGCACTTTGAGGGCTTTGCTTTTTTATTTTTTGTCTTTTTAATGGCCAGGATTATTTCATTTTCCAAGTTTTAAAAACCTTAATAGAGTTCTCACCTATGGCATTGTTTGAAACTTTGTATATCCTTAAGTAATTTAACTACCCCTCATTACTAAGAAAAGAAGAGGAAAAAAATGCTTTATAAAATTCATAACTTATTGCTGATTTGAATGGGTTGTTAATTTCAGTCCTTTAGACTTTATTTTATTGTTTTAGGTAGGGTTGGGCAAAAAGGTAAAATAAAAAAAAAATAAATAAAAACAACCATATTTAGCAGTGCAGTGGAATTGTGTTTAAATGTTAGCATATGGTCCCCATTAAAGTAGCACTTTAACGCCATTAAACATTTCTGTATCTGAAATGAGTTGTGTTCTTCCATCTTGGTCATTCGTATCACTTTAGCTGACACTTTGTTCTTCTTGTGCCCTTTGATCCCGTGATGAGAAGATCTGGAGTGGTTCTGCTGTTGCGTTGTGCATTACGATGAATTGCCTGTGTTTAACTATCCTGGTGTTTTCCCTGCTCTTCTCAAAATGTGTCATCCCCTGTAAGAGGCACAGCACATACACTTGAGTAGAGAAATAATCTTTCCATGGCTATAAGCTTCTGTTTGTTTGGTATGCTTGTTTTTTCTTTTTAATTATTTTTAATTTGTTTATTATGTCTGGATCAGGTTGCTTGTTGTTAAATCTATCTTCACTTATGTGTGTGTAATACAGTGGCTCAGTACATCTGTTCTTCCTTCTGGGAGGTGACCTGGAAGGAACAGGAGTCTGTCACAGACTGAATTGAGTGCTAGGTTAATTAATAGGGCCCAAGGGTTTTGGAAGAAGAATGTGCTGCTCAGATTTGTTTGGGGCCCACATAACCTCTGAATGACAGGAGTTTGGGGTAGTGATGAAGAAGAGGAATCTTCAGCTCTAGCAAAGCCTGACTTCATTTATTCATTATTACTTACTTGAAAGTGTTGATCACTGGCAGCCCTGGTGCTGCGCAGCTGAATTCCAGTGGGAATTACTTATCTAACAGCCTTTTTCTTTAGCTGTCTCAGCACCTCTTCCTTCCTATTATTCTTGTTTGTTTTAAATGGCCACTGGGGAAAGAATTATTACACCTGAGAAATACTAAAGTTCAGGAGTTGCTCTGTTCTCTTAGTTGGTATAAAACTGTCATGCGTCTATGGTTGGATTAAATGTGATTGAAATGTTTGCTTGCATGCATCAGGGCCAGTATCTCCCACCTTTTATACCATTGTGGGCTTGGAGGAGTCTGGTATCAGCTGCAGATACTGGGGGAAAATGTAGCAGGGAGACATGAGTTTATTGTGACTTCACCAAGGGCAGATCGTGCCTGACCAATCTGATGGCCTCCTACAGTGGTGGGGTGGCATCTGTGGACAACATAAGGGCACCTGATGACATTTACCTGGACTTCTGTAAGGACAAGTTTCTCATCTTTTGAAAGCCGAGATGGTCCTTCGTACTGCTTAGCTTTAAGAGAATCCATAGAGCAAGATTTATTGGCCCTAGATGTCTACCCACCAGATTGTTTTCACCCGGAGTAATGCTGTAATGTGGGCATGGAGTCGCATTTCCCTTTTATATTTGCAAAATAGAGTGAGATTCTTTTTATGGTTTTCTTCTTGTATGCTATTGTTTTGTGGCCTACTTTTATGTTTGGAGTGTAACAGAAGCCCTAAATCTATTCCCTAGGTAATTTTACAAGAACACGGTGCCTTTTCCTATGAAACAGAATCAGATGTGCTTTCTTAGGCAGCACACCCACCCGTGCACACACTCAGCTCCTTCATAAGCTCGTTCTGCCAAGCCTTCCCTCTGCAAATTACATCTCTGATGGGTCCTTTTGCTACGGACAAACCCATTAAAAAGACCATCCAGCATTTTCCTTCTTTTGACACAAGCATATTACAGTATGTCATCTTGTGTCTGCACACAAGGTGGAGATGACTATCTGGCTGCATTTGTCACGGTTATCCTGTGATGAGTTGTCACTTGAAGGTCATTTTAATGTCCGTTCCATTAGAGGCATGTCACTGACGGAAGGTGGTCACAAATCTGTCTGTCTCAAGAAATCTGTGGGTCAACAGGAATTGGGCTGACTGCACGCATGGATCATTTTCCAGGTTTTGTCATCTTCTTTTCATTCCGTTTACTTGTGTCTGTTACCGGGCTCTGAGCTCCAGCCTCTCCTTTTCTGCTCTTTGTTCTCTGCTCCCTGTTTGTAGCCCATGTTTTTGTGTTGCTCTGTTGAAACTGAAGAAATACTTGGCCTCACCATTTTGTTCACTAATTGGAAGAGTCTTGTTTTCCCCAGCACTGTAAGCTATGATTGTTATATGTTTTCTGGCACCAGCTCTATGTCACTAGAAAGAGAAATTCAGGTAACTTCCTGGAAGGTTGTGTTGTTTGTTTTGTTTTGTTTTTACAGCAATTTATTCTGAATTTAGAGAGGGCACTACTAATATTAACAAAGGGGTGGGGGGGAATTCATAAATAACAGAATAAAAACAGTAGTGTTTTTTTTTGTTTGTTTTCCTGGGGCTTTGTCCTGTGGACAGATTTCTCTGCTGAGTGATTAATTCTGTGCTCTGATAGTGACTGAAACTCCTCTGCATCTGAGATAAATCCTCTGAATTGTCCTGCAGACCCTCAGGGAGGAGGAGTGCATCTCTCTTCCTCTGTGTTCTTCAGTCTGCACAAGGTATCTAGAAAATGAATGCTGTTGAAAATACTGATGTGCTGTCAAACGTGCTTGAAATTGGCTGATAGATCTAAGTGATGGCTGGGAGGATGAACATCAGGCAGAAGAGTGGTTGACTGCATACGCAGTGTTTCCCTTTGGAGCTACACGTACAGAAATGTTTAACTGATGATGATACCTTTGTGCTGAGCCCTGATTTTGCTGCTCATTTCCCTCTGAAAAGAGGAGTGATGTGTTTAATTATTAGGCAGAAGTAGGAATACAGAAGCAGTGAGTATTGGTGCTATGGTTGTGCTAAGTACTACTAAATATATGGTATTTACCATTTCTGTTGTGATGGTGCTCTGTTTGACCAAAGCTGAGGAATTTTCTCCAAAGGGAGGATGCTGTTTTGGAGGTCTAGAGAGACTTGTGTTCCTCGGGGTGCAGGAGAGGCATCTGAGAGCTGGATGGAAAGGTGATGCATGCATTGCCTGCAGCACTTGGCTGTGTGGGGCTGTAACAGATGTCCCTGCAGGCCAAAGGCGTGAAATGTTTTCAAGAAGAGCCTTCAATATTAACCACTGTTAAGGCTATGGGTAATATTTGATATTTTTAACATTGTCCTACCACACAGGAAAAAGTTGTTCCCTTTGGTTGCGGTACCCACATGAAGCCTAAGGATTGCCTTGGGAAGAAGCAGCTGCTCTCTGGGACATGGACAGAGGCTGGGGCTTTGCAGGTCACCTTTCTTACCCCTCCTTAGTGCCGTGCTTCTGTGTGTGTGATGGAAGGGCAGGGAGGAGGGCTGGCAGCTGGGCTCGACATGCAGGGTGCTGTTCTGTGAACACTGCCCCGCTGGGAAGGAGCTCACATGAACTTGCCTGTCGGGATCCTCTGCTGATAAGTCATGAGGCCAAATGTAAATCCAAAATCCATGCTGCTGCTTAAAGGGGCTCAATGCTGACTTCAGTGGGACCAAGCAGGCAGCTGAACGTTTCCACACATCCACTTTTTCTTCCAAACATCCTGATTAACAGAGTGAGCTGGTGGGGTGAGCTGATGAATTTGGTTGTTTGACACCTAGTTGCCTCCATGTCTTCATCCATAAAATGTGGATTATAGTCTGTTGCGAGCTGCAGTCTTGCAGGGAAGTTTCATTTTAATATATTTACTCAGAGGAATCAAAGCACTGCACAAGGTTTACATCAGTCTTCAGCTGGTGGAGGGAGGGCAGTGGCTTCAGCGCATTTTTAGGGAGTGAAGAATGGTTCCAGCCAGCGCTTGTGAAGCCATGAGGTGTGTTTGCATGCTGGAGATGTGGTGTTAACAAAGCTAAGAAATCAGGCAGAGAGGAATAATGAGTGAATGGCTCTGAGCACTGGTAACAGTGCTAATCCCACCTCTGGGGATGTTCCCAGATTGGGATTTTTCAGCAGTAAGATTCTCTGGAGTGTTTCATCATATGGATCTGACTGTTGTATGTATGGATCTGGAGGACACTGGCTTCCTATCTCGTTCCAGCTAGCCATCACATGCCTCCTCCATGAAGTGATAATGACAGGTGTAGGTTGGGAGAAGACAGATGTAGCATTCATCTGTTCATCTGCCATGATTCTTGGTGGAAGAAACAGTAGTGAGCTGGATTGGAACTCCGTGTGTGTGCTGTCAGCTGTGGGCAATCTGCCCCCTCTGTGATGTCCACTGAGTTTGTGAATGTTGCAGCAGGGCTGCATTCCTGCAATGAATAATTATGATCTTGAGGAACATGCAGCAAAAATGCGTGTCATCAAATGAACATAAATCACTTTATGGTGGTTTTAAGTGTGGCTGCTGGTCAGAACTTGCACGTAATTCATTCCGTGACAGGCTACTGGTGATCTAGTTTGTGCTGAAGTGTTGCTAAGGTTTGGAAATGCTTTCAATTTATCCCCTTTTCAGAGCAGTTTGCCTCAAAACAATGAATTGGTTTGGATCTCCTCCTAGAAAGTTTGGTAGAGAAATGCTCTCTGCTTTTCTGGAGTAGTGGTCGACTATACAGAGCAATATTGCCTTATGAATGTTCAAAAGGTCTGTTAAGAACATAAGGCTTAAAGCCTACATCACTTGATTTCTCACTGAGAATTTCTCTCTGGGAAGCAGTATCATCTTTCAATCTAGGTGAGAGTGAGACATTTCCAGACATCTTCCATCAGCATTCATCATGGGGAAAGCTTTGCACTTCTGTATGGACCAAAGAGTCATAGCAAGGTGAGTTGAGCTCAGAAAAATCATTCCTTTACAAGAGGAAATAGAGTGCTTTTGTGTAGCTGCCTTCACTGAAATGTCAGAAGCTTTGAAGTCAAGAGTTGTTGTTTAATTGATCAGGTCATATGTAGCTAGCTTGGCTCTATGGCATGGATGTTTACCATACCTATGATGCAAACATCTCTGTCTCTTTTGCAGTGTGATTTAAATGAAGCTTTTTGAAGATGAGATAAAGATTGGACAAGTAGTGCAATGCAGAGCAGTACCACCTGCACAGCAGCGGTACTTTCCTTAGGCCTGACCTAAGAACATTTTCAGTAACCCCATTTTTAATTGCAAAAGACACACAGTAGTGGCTGTTTCACAAAGTGCTGCCAATATGCCAACTCAGGCTAGTAGAGGAAGTGTAGAAAC